CCTCGGCCTCCCGAAGTACTGGGATTACAGGCTGAGCCACCGAGCCCGGCTTTGGATTTTGGTTTTAGAGATGGGGTTTCACTCTTTTGCTCAGGCTAGTCTCAAACTCCGGGGCTTAAGCTATCCTCCTACCTCAACCTCGAGTAGATGGAATTGCAGGCGCATGCCACCAAGACTGGCTAGTTATTGTTATCAAGGGAGACCTTAGTGATCAGGATCTGGAGTTGATCAACACCTGTCCAGGAGTTTTCAACCTGGTCTCCAGGAGCTGAAGGTTTTACAGAAATGGTCCTGGGGATAAGGAGACCACTCCACCCACACCTGCTGCCCCCTTCATCTGGAGGGGTTCGTCTTTGCTGGGGCTTTGCATGAAGACTTGATGGGGGGGGGCGGTTGGAGTCTTGCTCCCGGCCACCGCAGCCTCGACCTGCTGGGCTCCAGTGATCCTTCCACTTCAGCCTTCTGAGTAGCCAGAATTACAGGCGTGCGCTACCATGCCCGGCTAACTTTTTATTTTATTGTAGAGACAAAGTCTCGCCAAGTTGCCCGGGTGGGTCTCAAACCCACAGGCTCAGGCAATCCATTCACCTCGGCCTCCCAAAGTGCTGGGATTACAGGCTGAGCCACACTGAGCCCGGCCAAAGATTAGATTTCGAAGACCTCACTGTTGTTGTGTAGCTGTGGTATGTTATAGGACCACAGGGGAAGGTAAACGGCCCAAATTTCAGGAGCTTGACATTTGCCTTTTCTGGTTCATTTCCTTTAACAGAATTTGAAATAGCAGATGGCAAATGTAAAGAGATCCATATATATATAAGCTGATGTGATGTGAGGCTGTGATGAATTATATAGTTCATCTGTGTCATCAGATGTGCAGTGTTCAATGTGGTTACTTTGTAGCCTTTGCTAATATGTAAATATATAAAATATAAATATGTACGTTTATGTTTATAAATAAATATAAGCATATCATATAAAACACTTGGCTTTCTCTTCCAGATGAGCACAATGCCAGGACTGCCCACTCGGCCCTGCTTCTATGATATAGACCTCGATACAGAAACAGAGCAGGTCAAAGGCTTGTTCTAAGTGATTGAGCTCTCACGCACCCCGATTCAGGTAGGCTGTTGTCTTTTGACTTTTTCTTTTCTTCCTCCTGATTCAAATGCTTTTTTTTGTTGTTTCTTGTTTGTTTTTCTGATACTTATAACAAAAGTGGTCTGATCATTTTCTTCCTTGGTTACTACAAATTCCTGCCTAATGACGACCCATGACTGGAGCCCACTGGTGGGTAGGGACATGAGTTAGATGACCAGGACAAGAGGGCCTGGGCTGAAGTTCCATGAAACTCCGCTGTGGCCAGGCGCAGTGACTCACGCCTGTCATCCCAGCACTTTGGGGGGCGAAAGCAAGAGGATTGCCTGAACAGGGGTTGGAGACCAGCCTGGACAACTTATCGAGACCTCATCTCTACAGTAAACCAAAAAATTAGCTGGATGTGGTGGCGCGTGCCTGTGGTTCCAGCTACTTGGAAGGCTGAGGCAGAAGGATTGCCTGAACCTAGCAGGTCAAGGCTGGTGGCCATGAGCATGCCACTGCACTCCAGCATGGGCAACAGAGTGAGACCCCGACTCAGAAAAAAAAAAGAAAGTCAATCGTGTCATCTCTGAACATATTAGTAGATTTGTTTAGAACATCTCTGGCCATAACAAAGGAACCCTGTAAAATCATCCCTTTTCCAGAATTAAAACCAATATCCCTAAATTTTAAAAAACAGTATAGCTGGGCTCGGTGGTTCAGCCTGTAATCCCAGCACTTTGGGAGGCCGAGGTGAGTGGAT